ATATTATATTACTTTCAGGGGCATAACCCAGTGATTAGACATTTATATAACTTAAAAAGTGAATACCCTGATAAATCTAAAAGAAAGTGAGTTTTTAAATAAAATGCTCCTATCTTCCCAAATTTATTATTTTCTAAATACATTTCTTTCTGAAAATGTAAGGACAATTTTAGTGATAGGAGTTTGCCAGCTAAAATACTTTCTATCATATAGTTTATGACTTTGAGCACCCAATCTATCAGACAGGTAGAGCACGTCTTGGAGTTTCTTCTGTTTCCAATTTTAACAAGTTTCAACCTCTGGGTGTTAGGGAGAGAGGCTCATTTATGTCTACTTGGCCTCTTTGGATCTGTTGACTTCCTGTTGCTTTTGTGCTGCTTGGGACATGGGGATGACTTACAAAGCTTCTTTTGATGCCAGTCTCTGCATGTACACAAGGGGGAACCCCCCAAAACATAATTTATTTATAAAAAAGTGTGTATTCATTCTTACACGTTTAAATTTCAGTCACCTTCAAAGTACTCTCCATTTGATGCAATATCCCTATTGAGACATTTTTTTCCCACTGCTCAAAACAGATCTTTTTGATTTTGATGCCTTTTAGTGCTTCTGCTGTTTTTGTTGTTGTTTTGTTTTGTTTTTGTTTGTTTCACCTCTTCCACATTGACAAACTGCCTCCCTTTGAAGGCTTTTTTTAAGGGATATTTTATTGATTGTGCTATTATAGTTTTCTCAATATTTCCTCCTTTATTCCACCTGCACCCTATATCCCCCCACACTCCAACATCCCCCGCTTAGTTCATGTCCATGGGTTGTACATATAACTTCTTTGAGGTCTCTGTTTCCTAAACCATTTTTCACCTCTCTCCATCTATTTAATGACTTCCAATTATGCTTCATCTTCCCTGTACCTTCCCCCCCATTCCTCCCTTCCCTGTCCCCACTGAAAACCCTCCATGTGATGTCCATTTTTCTGATTCTGTTCCTGTTCTTGTTGTTTGCTTAGTTTTTGTGTTTTTTTTCTTTTTTTAGGTTCATTTGTTGATAGTTGTGAGTTTGTTGTCATTTCACTGTTCATATTTATCTTCTTATTCTTAAATAAGTCCCTTTAACATTTCATGTCATAAGGACTTAGTGATGATGAACTCCTTTAACTTGACCTTATCTGGGAAGCACTTTAGCTGCCCTTCCATTCTAAATGACAGCTTTTCTGGATAGAGTATTCTTGGATATAGGTCCTTGCCTTTCATGACTTCGAATACTTCTTTCCAGCCCCTTCTTGCCTGTAAGGTTTCTTTTGAGAAATCAGCTGATAGCCTTACAGGCACTCCTTTGTAGGTAACTCTTTTCTTTCCTCTTGCTGCTTTTAAGATACTCTCTTTGTCTTTAATCTTGGGTAACTTAATGATGATGTGCCTTGGTGTGTTCCTCTTTGGGTCCAACTTCTTTGGGACTCTGGGCTTCCTGGACTTCCTGGAAGTCTATTACCTTCACCAGATTGGGGAAGTTTTCCTTTATTATTTGTTCAAATAAGTTTTCCATTTCTTGCTGTTGTTCTCCTTCTGGCACCCTTATAATTCGGATATTGGAACGTTTCAGGTTGTCCCAGAGGTTTGTGAGCCTCTCTCCACTTTTTTGAATTCTTATTTCTTCATTCTATTCCAGTTGGATGTTTATTTCTTCCTTTTGTTCCAACTCATTGATTTGAGTCCTGGTTTCCTTCCTGTCACTGTTGGTTTCCTGAATATGTTGCTTTATTTCATTTTGGGTATCTTTCACTTGTTCTTCCATTTTTTGACCAAGCTCAATCAGTTCTGTGAGCATTTTGATCACCAGGGCTTTAAATTCTCCATCAGATAGGTTGACTATTTCCTCCTCGCTTAGGTCTGTTTCTGAGGATTTGCTCTGTTCTTTCATTTTGGCCCTATTTCTTTGTTCAGGGCTCCTGTTAAGTTATAAGGGGGCAGGACTTTAGGTATTCACCCAGGCAGGGCAACCCTCCTTGCTGTGCTGCAGAACTGCTTGTGGGCGAGGGGCCAGAGAGGGAAAAATGCAGCTCCCTTGATCATCTCTAGCCCACTTTTCAATGAATTCTCATGAATTCATTGAGACTGGGAATTTCTCCCACCGTGGCAACCACTGTAGTCCATAGCAAGCTCTGAGTCTCTGTTTCCCCTTAAGTCAGCCCCTCCCGCACAGCCTGCTGCCTCTCCCCAGCCAGGCCTTTGAGGACTTTTTTTCATCCAGGGAAACAAAAAAATAAGAGTTGCTAGAGGTGAGATTAGGTAAATAGGAAGGGTGGGGTAGGGGACATCTTGCCATTTTTGGTCAAAAACTGCTGAACAGTCAGCACAGTGTAGGCAAGTGCACTCAGAAATTACCTATCAAGAAATGGGCAAACATGTTGAGAGTCTTAAAAGAAATCACTGAAGCCCAGCCTCTCAAAACAACACCAACTGATACACTGATACAGATGCATTCCTAGGACACTCACCTAGTGGGGGATGCCTGTATTACAAGGGGCTCGCCCTCCAGAAGATAATTCCATTTTTGTCTCCCCTGTATACAGCTATTTAGGGGAGTCAAGAGTAGCACCTCTTCTTACCAACCTAAAGGGAATCCTTTTAATCTGGACAAAACTCTTCATTTTTTAAGGCACTCTATCAAGCCTATAAGTCCCTTTCTCATCGCCCCCTTAAAAATCCTTTGCATTCTCTTAAAAACTTAGGTTTTTAGGGTCAAAAAATGTTCCAAGGAAGAAAGTATCTTTTCTACCCTGAACCTTGTTTCAGTTATGAATTGGTGCATAACAGAGTACCTCAAAACCTAGTGGCTTAAAGGAATAATCATTTTATTTATTTGCTCATGATTCTGCAATTTGGGCAGGGCTAAGCAGAACTGGATCTTCCTGTTCCATGTGGTATCAGTCTGAGCAGTTCTTAGAGGGGTCGCTTTGCAGATGCTTTACTCAAATGAGTGGCAATTTGGTATTGATTGTTGGCTTGACACTGTGCAGGGACTGATGACCAGGTCCCTCAGATCTCTCTCCCATGCCTTTCCTCATGGCCAGGTTGGGATTCTAACCGAGAGGCAGTCTCAGGGTAACGAGATTTATGTAGTACCTGGCTTCCCCTAGAGCACAAAAGTGGAAGCTTGAGACTTTCTTAAGGTTTAGGACTTGAAAAAGTGCTAAGCAGGTCACAGAGCCATCCTTGATTAAAGGGGAGGGATTATGGCACAGGCAAGAATATGGCAGGCATGTTTTTTTGGGGGGCAACCGAAGTAATAGTCTGCAACAAAAGGGCAAGAAAGCACACCTGCTATTTTTCTTTTCTTTTTTTCCTCACCTGAGGATATATTTATTGATTTTAGAGAGAGGAGGGGGAGGAGAGAGACATCAGAGAGAAAAACATCGATCACCTGCCTCCCATATATACCCCAATTGGGGGTCAAATCTGCAACCTAGCTATGTACACTGACTAGGAATCAAACCTGCAAACTCTCAGTGTACTGGACAATGCTTCAACCAACTGAGCCACCCAGCCAGGGCTACTTTCTTGAATTGGGTTGGGAGCTGTTGAGGGTTGTTTAAGGGAAAAATCAATGAAGGAAAAATACTAATATATGTTTATATCTCAAAATATATCTCTAGTCATATAGGCCTTTGCCAACTTTCTCCTGATGTATTACTTTAATGTCTATGTCACTTGAGAAACTAATTTTGAATTAAGCGCTTTAAAATATTTTAATGAACTCTTCGATTGTGTTTTCACTTTTTGGTTATAAAACACATTATTTTTTCTTCAAACATCTCTGTAGTTCAATTGGTGTTTCAGCATTATTAGGGTATAATCCCAGCAGTGGAATTGCTGGGTCAAAAGGCAGTTCCATTTTTAGTTTTTTGAGGAACAACAATAAAAAACAATCTAGGTAGCTGAATGTTTTACTTATATATGGAAAATGATACTTAGTTGTTGAGTTCTTGAATTGCTAGTACTTGTACAAGGACTTTACATTTTTCTTAACAATTTGTTTTTATATTCTTATACTTATATCATGAAATATTCTATACATACAAAAGAATATAGGAGGTATGTGATCTAAATATCTGATAAGGGACAAACACATGTGTAGCTGCCACCCAACATAAGAAAAAGAGCATTCCTAAAACTTTGAAAGCCCTTCCCAAACTGCCTTCTTTCCATTACTGAGGTAATCTCTCTTCTGAAATGTGTAAGAATTTTTATTTCTGTTTATAATAGATTATTTGGATTTTAAAAGTTTTTGAATGTATATACTTTAAAGGAAAAGCAACATACTTATACTGTGCATCTCCTCTGTTCTCAATATTCTACTACAACACCACTTCTGACACCAGATGTGTGGGTTCTCCACACATCAAGCAATTCTATGACACCAACTGGAGGTCTTATAGTTTAAGTCAATTCTGATACTTTCCATGTAGAAGAAGTGTCATGTCCCCCTTCCCCACTTCAGATTTCCAATTGCAAGTCCAGGCTGTTACGTGTGCTTCTGACCTAATGGTTATAAATCAGAGGTTCTCATGATCTACTCTGCAGGTTCAATTAATTTGTTACAGCAGCTCACAGAACTCAGAAAAACAGTTTACTTAATAGATTATAAGTTTATTACAAAAGTATTAAAAAACAAAATTCAACCAAGTAAAGTTGAAGTTCTAAATTTTATTAAATGATCCATGAATCAGGCTGTATCCCATGTAGCAACTAGAAGGGTATTCCAAAGGGTTGAACAAAATGGGAGGTTTTTATAGGAAGAAAGTATGGCATGGGAGCTATTAACAAAAGAAAAAAAATATTTTTATTAAACGTTTTAAAATTTATTTTTAAGTTATAATTTGTATTCAGCATTATCATGTATTAGTTTCAGTTGTACAACATAGTGGTTGAACAATCATATACTTTAAATAGTGTTCCCCCTGATATTCCTATTACCCACCTGACACCATACATAGTTATTACAATATTATTGATTATAGTCTCTGTGCTGTACTTTATATCCCTGTGACTATTTTGTAACTACCAATTTGTACTTCTTAATCCCTTCACCTTTTTCACCCAGTTCTTCAACACCCCTCTTCTCTGGGAACCATCTGTCTGTTCTCTGTATCTATGCCTGCTTCAATTTTGTTTGTTCATTTAGTTTGTTCAAGAAACGATTATTTTGGGACCAGACGTCTTTCTGTGATGGAGGGTGTGTGATGGAGACAACAGATTACCTCAGTGGTGTTGATCAGAAAATTCCAGACTGGTTGATTATATTTCTGGTAGACTTTGAAAACTGCAATTATAACAAAGATTAATTAGATCTAGGTTTGGTAACATGGACTTTTAGCATGAGTGATGCCATTTTAGACCTGTGGTTTTTCTTCAACAAAAGGATATAACTCAGGAACAGTTAGATGATAGAAGTGCATAGGACCAGGTATGGGGGATGGGTCATGGACCTTTCCATGCTCTCTCTTGGGCTCTCCACTTTCCCAGAACCTCTATGTGTTTACCAGCCCAGAAGCTCTCTGAACCCTGAACTTTCAGGTTTTTATGGAGGCTTCATTAGATAGGTGCAATTGATAAAATCATTGGCTATTGATGCCTTATTCAACCTCCAGTTCCTCTTCTTTCCAAAAAGGTGAAGGTGGGGGCAGACTGAAAGTTCCAACCCTCTAAGCCTAGTTGGTTCTCCTGGCAACCAGCCCCTATCTTGGAAGCTTTCCAAAAATTCTCTCATTAACATAAACTCAGATGTGGTTGAAAGGTGCTTCTTACCACTTAAGAAATGTAAGGGGTTTGTGGAATTTGTGTCAAGAAAAGTTGATGGACCAAACATAATTTTTATATTATAAATTGCAATGCCACATATACATTTCCGCATTCTTCTGCAATTATTTTTTTGCCAAGAATATTTGTGAGATTCAATCATGTTAATGCATATAACTATATCATTCTTTTTTATTGCTATATAATATTTCTGGATGTAAATATACCACAATTTTTCTATTACCCTATGAAGGGACATTTTAATTATTTTTAGGATTTGGACTTCTTGTATATTTTTTCTTTTTTTAATTGAATTTATTGGGGTGACATTACTATATAAAATCATACAGTTTTCAAGTGTACAACTCAATAAACATCATCTGCACTCCGCATTGTGCACCTATGGCCCCAAGCAAAGTCTTTTTCCACCTCCATTTCCCCCCACCCTTTGCCAACCTCCACCTACCCCCAGCATCCTTTGTCTCTGGCTAACACCACACTGAATATTTGTCTTGTATCTTGATGTTCTTATGCAATGGACATATTGCACAGGGTATATGTCAGTTGTCATAACGTATAATGCCAAATTATTTCTGAGCAGTATAGAAAAGTTACTGCTGTTCCATTTCCTTGTGCACACTTAGGAGTTTCTTTTAAAAATTTTTGTCAGTCTGGTGGATGTGAAATAGTGTCTCATTGTAATTTTAATGTGCATTTCCCTTCTTATAAATGAGATTGAGCATCTTTCTATATGTTTATTTCATAATTGTGTTCCCTCTTAGGTGAAATCCCTATTCATGCTCTGTGCCCATTTTTTTTGAGGGGTTTATTTAACTATTTCTATTTATTTGATTCATAGGAATTCTCTGTATGTTATGGCTACTAAATATTGGTTGGTTATATACATTAACATTGTTCTTTAGTCTGTAGCTTGTATTTTTCCTGTCCTTTTGAGATCTTTTAATAAAAAGTAATACTTGATATTAATACAGTTGAATTATTCAATAATTTCCATTATGGTTTGTCTCTAAAAATGTCAAGATTATTAAAATTTTCTCAAATTTTATTCTTTTCCTAAAAAGATTTTATTTATTTATTTTTAGAGAGGGGGAGGGAAGGAGAAAGAAAGGGAGAGAAATATCAATGTGTGGTTGCCTCTAGAGCACCCCCAACTGGGGACCTGGCCTACAACCCAGGCATGTACCCTGACTGGGAATTAAACCAGTGACCATTTGGTTTGCAGGCTGGTGCTCAATCCATTGAGCCACACCAGCCAAGGCTCAAATTTTATTCTTAAAATTTATTTTTTTCCATTTTTAAAGTTTAAATCTTTAATATGTATGGAATTGATTTTTATGTATGATACTCAAAAAGAATCCAATTTTAAAATTAAATAATTAATTATCTGAGCATCATTTGTTGAATAGTCAGTCCATTTTGTCCCTGCAAAGTTTTTTTTTTTGTAACTTTTTCATACTCTGTTTCCATAGAGGCATGCTTCTGTTCATGGGTTTTATAGTCTGTTGTACTGGTTAATTTTTTTCTCTCTGCTAATATTGCACTGCCTTACTCTTCCAATTATCTAACTTGATAGTCAATGAAGCAAACCACCCCATCTTAGTCTTCAGGAGTGTAATGTAGTTGTTTTTTTTTTTTTTTAAACATAGTTGGTTGTTAAGTGTCACTGCAAGAACAATGACTTCCTTCTCTTTTTTGCTCAGTGTTTTCTCACTTATGAGATACTTGAGATGTGGTTTACTACATTTCCATAATAGCAAAACTCAGAGCTTAATAAGGAACTGGATATAAGGGGTTGGGCAAAAGTAGGTTTACAGTGTGAGTATGCAAAACACAGAGTTTATTCTTGCATTGTTATTTATTAATTACTTTATTATTTTTTATATGAAAAACTGGAAACCTACTTTTGTTTCACTTTGTAAATTATAGGCGAAGGTTATGTAATTATCACACTGTTCTTTGCAATAAAACTATTTGATGCCCAAATGCACACTTTCTGTCTTCCAGGCCACCATGTTGTGCACTAACCCAGAAAGAATGAAAAAGACCTCAAAGATGTGTATTTGTTAACTTGACCATTTTTGTGGTAAGTCTTTTCTGGTTGCAGTAGAAAAAAATTAAATTCTTGGGAAATTTACTATTTTAATTAGCATAAGTCAACTCAGTTGAGAATATAACACTTGATCTTCATGTTGGTGAATGAAGATAGGTGGTTGTTCCATCCTTCTAGGCTCCTTTCAGGTACTTTAATTCCTTCAACAAATATTTATTGATCAACCATTAGAAGCTAGGTCTGTGTTAAATATAGAGGGCTATTTAATAATTTAGCTGAACATATAATTATTATACATCTACTGTGTGCATTGGTGTCCTGCAAGGTAAAATTAATACAATTGTGAAATGGGCAACCAAGAAACCTAAACTCAAGGAGGTTAAAACTGATTTGTAGTCTCTGAAACAATGGTAGAGAATATCTAATGTCAACTCTTCAAAATTTTTAAAAAACCCTAAAGATTTTTAGTGACTCTCCAAGCTTAAGAAACAGTTTTAGAGCAGAGGCTAAAATCCTGATCAGTTATTTTGAAACACAGGATAATAGCTGCATGTTGACTAATTATTTAGCCTTTATTTTAAAACAGTGGTTGTCATATGGAGTTGGAGAAACCTGAATGAATGCAGGCATTTTTTTTTTAAATCACATGTAATTGTTAAAGAATTGAATCTTAAAGCAGTAACAGATATATAATAGAAATCATTTTGACACTAGAAATAGTAGTTTGAAAATGAAGTCTGTGTATGTATTCATAAAAGTCTAGGAGCTCTTCATTTCTAGAAACATTGCCTTGCATAATTCTTTCAGAATTCTACTAAAGTTGTATGAGGGTATATTTCTCTATGTAAATAAAACACTGAAAAGTTCAAGTCCTCTACTTTCTTGGCTTTTTACAGAGTATATACACACATGTGCCAAAAGTCCTCTTTTGGAAATTTTCTCCTCCAATATCCTAAAAGTAGAATTGACCCTCTCACCTAGAATTACATGATACTTTATCAAGAAGCATGACTAGTGGCAGGCAGTCAGGAGCAATAGAAAAATTTTATGTGTGTGAGTGGCATAATTAGATGTATTCTAAAAATATAACTGTGGCAAGAGTATTAAGGAAGGACATCATTTTGTGCAAACATCATTATGTATAGATTATACCTTATTTAAATGATAAAGTGATAGTTATTAAAGATCTATTATCATACATTCATTCATCAAATATTATTGTGTGACAATTAGATGGTAAGGATGCAAATCAGTCCCTATCTTCTCACATTTAGAGAAAGAGACAGAAACAATTTAGCAATTAGATATACAGAATGTCAGGTGATGATTAATGTGCTGTGGAGAAAAATCTAAAAGAATGGGAACCAGAGGGCAATTTTGTATAGTGGCCAGAGAACATTTTCTGATAGCACAATATCTGAGCAGGAAGCTGAAGGAAGTAAAGGAGCAAGTTGTAAAAAACTGTGAGACAAATGTTCTTGGAGGGGAAAAAACAAGTGTAAAGACACTGAATGTTGAGCATGTTTGGCACTGTGATATAAATAGAGGATGAGAACAGAGAGACAAATGAGGAAAACAAGGACTAATGGCAAGGGCCTCATAGGTCACTGTGTAATTGACATTCAGTCTAAATGAAATGGGAAGTATTGGAAGACTTTGAGAAGAGGTGTGATATGGTCTGGCATTTTTAAGAGAATTACTCTTAATTCTCTTAAATTAAGAGGTTTGCCAATCTACCAGAAAATCCAAATGTTACATGGTATCCTAGTCAAATATACTATTTCTGCTTTCAAAAGAACCAGAGATAGTTTCTTCTCCTTGTATCTAAAAACCCCAAATGAGCCCTGGTGGGTGTGGTTTCTTGACTGGGTGTCATCCTGCAAACTAAAAGGTTGCAGGTTCGATTCCTCATCAGGTCACATGCCTGGGTTGTGGGTTCTGTCCCAGGTCCAGGTCCAGACGGGCATGTTTGGACGGTACAAAAAGGCAACCAATCCATGTTTCTTTCTCACATTGGTGTTTCTCTCCCTCTCTTTTTCCCTCCTTTCCCTTCTCTCTCAATCTTCCTTCTCTCTCTAAAATTCAATGAAAAAAAAAGTGTCCTCAGGTGAGGAAAAATATAAAAATAAAAAATAAAAACCCTGAATAATACACTAAGCATTGATATTCTTAACATGAATATTATCATAATAATAACTACCATTCATTGGGTGATTGAGGAACCTATTTCAATTACTTCTGCCAGATGGATATTATTCCTACATTAGAAGTGAGGAACTGAGACATAAAGGATAAATCACTTGCCCAAGGTCATATGGCTATTAACTGACAGAGCTAAGATTAAAATCCAAATTTGTTTGGTTCCAAAGCCTGAACACTTATATACTACAGATGAGTTCATTTAGAGGTCATATAGTAGTGTAACTGAGCCATTATTCTATTAATTTTATTCTCCATATAACCTCTGTCTATTCACAAGTATCAGATTTCCTTGAGATTCTGTAAAACTGTAGAGTTTAGCACTGAAATATTAAAGTGTTTCATTGTTTTAAAAACTTACTATAGTCTGGTAAGTCCATAAATCTAACTCATAATAAATGCTTGCCCTGGCCAGTGTGTCTCAGTTGGTTAGAGCACTGTCCTGTAACCAAATGATTGCAGGTTCGACTCCTGGTCAGGACACATACCTAGGTTGTGGGTTCCATCCCTGGTCCAGAGCACGTATGATTCCTCGTCCTGGCATGTATGATCCCTGGTCTGGGCATGTATGGGAGGCAACCAATTGATGCTTCTCTCTCATTGATGTTTCTCTTTCTCCCTTTCTCTATCTCTGGAAAGCAATGAAAAAAATGTCCTTGGGTGAGGATTAAAAAGGATTCTAATACATGTTAGCAGTGTTTGAAACTTGAGTAAAGTCAGTTGTTTTTCTGAAAGTTTCCCCTTTTATAGACCTTTAGATCAATTAGAAGTTGTAGGCAAAGTGCTATATTGACAAATATACCAGGCTCTACTTCAGATGGAATCTATTACCATTGAGACCATGGCAGATTAAAAAGTATACACTTTTTAATTTGTTTAAGCAAATTAGATAAAGCATCAATGGTTATCTAAAATACAAGTGTGATGGGTTTGAATACTTGAAACTCACTGCTTGAAAAACATGCTACTTACCAATAAGAGGTATGGTTAAAAAGAAATGAAACTGATTATCAGAAAAGAAACTTGTGGTTTGTGAACCTCTGAGAAACACTAAGAGCACTGAGGAGCATATTATAGTACTTGTATAGCATCAGAGAGGCAACATGGTATTAGGAACAAGAAAACTGAACTAGGACTACGAACTTGTGCTCTCAAGTGCCAAACCAAATCCCTATCTAAGATATGCAGCTAAGGGCAATTCAACAGGCACTGAGCACAAGATGAATTAAGCAGAGATGAATAAAAGAGACACAGAAACATAAGTATCTGTGGAGCTTCATTAGAATTATTCATTCATATATTTACTAATCCATTAAGCATTTGTTCCCAGTCGTATGTCTGTTGTGTGCTAGGTTCTGGGTTTTCAAAGATGGACAAGAAAAAGCACCACCCACCTTCCATCCTCCCAAGAGCAAGTGGCCCAGGAAATAAAGGCTAGACTTGCTGTGGTATTGACATTCCACTCCTCCTTCCAATAGACTTCATTCTGCTCCTTCCATGATCCTTCTTTTCTTCTTTACCAATTCCATCCCCCACCCCACCCCAGTTAGTTTAACTGGGCTCAATTTAGACCTTATTGTCCCAAGTAAGACTTTCTGGTCCTGGGCTGCCTCTCCCTGCCCTACAGTTTCTGAGCCAGAATGGGCTTTAGAAACCTTAAACTCTGAAAATATTATTGTGTTTCTCATTCTACAGATAAAATGAACATATAAATAACACAAAACAATAAAATTGTTAAACTATATATAATTAAACTGCTTTTTCAGATATTCTGATCTTGGAAAAGCTAATGCAGTTGAGCATCATCTCTTCATGAGGAGAAATGTCCAAGTACATTTCAACTTTGCATAGGGCTCATCAGTTTTCTGAAGTCCATCATCATCCCCAGGTGATTCTAAAATACTGTTTTCCCTGAATTAAGAAAGATGTCAGGCACCACAGGCCCTGGAGTTACCTTAAAGATTTTATACTATTTGAGGAAAACAGTGAGAGTAAGAACTTTTGAAAATTTTCAGCCTAGGATGGGGCACACTTAGATTTATACTTTAGAAAGTTCTCTCTGACTGTAACCTGGAGAATGGATCACAAGGGCTTAAACTAACAACTAGTTGGAGGCTGTTGCAGAAACCCAATTAAGAGATTATGGTTAACTGCTAAAGGGTCTTTTGGAGGTGATAAAAATATCTAAAATTAGAGTGTGGTGATGTTGCATATCTCTGTGAATATACATGAAGCCATTGAATTGTACACATTAAACGGGTGAATTATATCTCAATAAAGATGTTTTCAAAAAAGCAACAGATTAAATAAAAACTCTCATACCTAAATAAATGAATGAATGAATAAAAGAGGTTACAGTTGTGTTAGGGACTGATATGAGAGACTTTTAGGAGGTAAGAAAAGGGAATGAGGAGAGGTAGGAGTCAAAGATGACCCCCAGGTTTTGTGTTTAGGCCAGTGGTTAAATGAAAAGGCTTTTACTGAGTTGAGGAGAGACATAAGTGATCTTCCTGAAGTGGAAGGAGATCTGGAAGGCACATTACAAAGACCTAAAAGGGAACACCAAAAAAATGCTCAAGAGACTGTTGCATTTAGGAAAGGATGCACAACATTTATGTGTCATTAGGGCAAGGGTGTCAGACTTCTTTCTGAAGAACCCAGAAAGACTGGCTTACCACATTCAAAACACAAATATTTAAAGGAGAAGAAAGGCAAAATTATCGAGGATACCAAGTTTATATTAGTCTGTTCATGGCGGGGAAAAAAACCCCTACCTTCTCATACAACTATCATATTTACAAAGATTATTCATGTCTTCAGACATTGGTAAAACAAAAATCAGGGATAACACTGTTTACAGAGTTCAAATTTACAGGAACTTTTCTTGAGTTTATTATTCTGGAAGCAGAATCAGTCGGATGAGTGTACTATTATAGCTCAAAGAAGAGAGTGCCATATCTAAGAGTGCAAAGTAGTTATTTTGTCCTTAGCTACATACAGTATGTGATGTGCTTAAATAAACTGAAAAAGAATGAAGTGTCAGTTTTGCTTCTATAGGAGATCAGTAACTGAATAAAACATGCAGAAGGGAAGGTGGCAGGAAAGAGAGCAGTGACAGCATGTAAGCGTGTGGTGGGTTGGGCACAGCAGACTCGGGAGGGAATGAGGAAGTACTGAAGGAGGAAGTATTCACTGTTATTGGGGCTCTCATCAGTCTTCTGTGATTACGAAAGTACACCAGAGGCCCTGTGAGGCCACACAGCAGGCGGGCCAGTACTTTCTAATGTTTGACTCCGGCTCCAAATAAAACATTGATAAGAAGTCATTGTAGGATTTGGAGAAAATGAAACTGAACATCTAAGGGAGACCCTACTCACAGAAAGATATTGCCTGGCTGAAAGAATATCACCTTTTTAAGGATTTAATAGCAGCCCAGCTTAGAAGCCTCAGCCTTTAGCTGGTGACTAGTAATGGATAAGGTATTTCTAGGCTTCTCCAGAGTCAAAGCCTACAGGAAATCACTATTTCCTACAATAACAGACTAAAGGCCCCACAATTGGCAATAGAGGGAGAATTTATACACAGGCTCTGAAGAATAGCTAGGCTTTGAAGCTCCAGCCTTTTGATTGGGATTTCTGTTGTTGCCACTACCACATCTCTCATTAAGACTCTGTGGCCTTTATGAAATCAGAACCCCTCCTTAATTCCTAGCAGCACAGTTGAGATCCTGCTGGGGTGTTCAGACTGCGGAGTGTTTAAAATAGGGACCCCTAGGTTCCATGCTTATATTTTGAATCAGTCAAGTTCAGGATGAGGAAATTTTATTTTTTAGCAATTTCCAGGTGACTTTAATAGAAGCTGTCTATAAATTACATTTTAAGAAACACTGGACCAAGGGGGACAAAAATATGTGAATATAGCAAGAAATATATAGTTTGATTTACAAAAATACAGCTGGGTCATTTGCAGCTTATAGCTCTCACTTGGGCAGAGATCATCTTCCCCTAACAATCAGTAGTCATGCAAACATGTCTACCTTACTTCAAACAGAGTCCCCGAACAAAGCCCAGAGAGAAATACAAATTCTCCCATGAACTAAGTTTCTATTTGCTATATAAGTTTCATTTGCTTGAAAGAGAACTAAGATCTTCCCTGAAAACTGGATACTGCTCATCCTCCCCTCACACGGAAGTTGGCCTATTATAAACTTAGAATGTAGTATCACTACAAGAGATATACAGATATTATAGCAAGTAGTTCATTTATGTTTATATAACCATATAAATTATGAAAAACGAGGACAGTTTTCATTTTTCACTTTCCTCAAAGTCTATATTTTCTGGTTCTAAATACTCCCATCATTAGTTCAATTCAAGTAGACGTTTGCCAAGCCCAGACAGTCCCTCTTCACTGACCCTTTTCCAGCTTGAGAGGAATATTGCTCCTGTAATTTCCCCCCTTGCTGTCCTATGGGACTTAGTTCCTTATAACTTCTGGAATGTGATCTAGCAAAGAAATACTCTCCAAAGGAAACAATTAAGTTTGCATGGTAAAACCACCTAAATCACACTGTATACGTCTCACAAAGTGAACCAAGTGTCCACATTCCCAAAATATGCACAAATAGTCTCAATATACATGTTTTTGTTATTCAGATTGTGAATAGGTATTTCCTGTTTCTACAGCTGTTGGGTGTGTCCCTCCTCCTGTTCCTCTGACCTGAATCTAAAAAAAAAAAAAGGCTTCTCAAAGAAGAAGAAAGACGTTGAGCAGAGTCACAAGTACACATACACAAATGGTACTTTACAGGTCCCATGAACATTTTAGATTTTTAAATTCACTGTATCTCAACCCTTTCCATTTTAGAGAACATTTTTGCTTTACACTACAAAACTAGGTCTGTCCAACCTTATTACTTTTTCAGAACACGGAGAAATTTAAACTAAATTGTGTGTCCAACTTCAGTAGTATTAAGAGGAAAAAATGCTTTCAACTTAAAGCCAAATTCCTCAAGGTAGTATATAGCTCAAAGACAACCACAACAGGAAGGGGAAGTGCATAGTATCTTTTTTTTAGATTTTATTTATTTATTTTTAGAGAGAGGGGAAGTAAGGGAGAAAGAGAAGGAGAGAAACATCAATATGCAAGAGATACATTGATTAGTTGCCTCTTGCACACCCCAAACTGGGCACCTGGCCTACAACCCAGGCAAGTGCCCTCACTGAAAATCAAACCGGTGACTTTTTGGTTCACAGGCTGGCACTCAATCCATTGAGCCACACCAGCCAGGGCCATGACATCTTATATTCAGTATAATTTTGTGTTGTCTCCCCACGTACCTCAGTCTTCTTACAACATATAGTACCCATGGAAGTTCAGGGAGAAGCCTCTGGGTATCGAGGAAAGGTTCAACTGCTGAGCAGTGTCCTACTTCTATGCAAGCCATATTCCTCATTTCCATTTCATTTAGTTGAATTTTCCTGTAATATTCCTCTAGAGTCATAACCCTACTAAGGCTTACCGTGGCTTTGTAGCCAGCCAAATTACTTTCCCCAACTAGGACCTTCCATTCAACTCTAATTACAGCCTGAGAAAGTGTAAAGCAGCTCTGCTAGTGGTCGGACTGTGATAAACAATGTTTTTAACAGGATGCTGATAAGCAACAGCACAATGTTTCTGACCAAACATAATTAAGGCTGTACTGTAGTTGCAAAAAACACTAACAAGTCATCTATTCGTAGAACCAACCAGCACAAGCCCAAAGCTGCTTTGTCCTTCTGAGACAACCAAGAACTAGTTATTCTTCACAGCAAGTTCTTAACTTCTTTCTATAGGTGTGGCCTGGTGGCCTTTTCTTTGGTTAGGCACTGAACTTGTCTAGCTGGAGCAGAGTGGAGCAGACCAGTGCAGGCAGAGCAGGCCAGTGCAGCCAGAGCAGGCTGGCAAAGAACTGAGCAGATCAGTGCAGAGCAGACTAATGCAAGGCAAAGCAGACTGGCACCAAGCAGAGCAGAATAGACTAGTGAGGAGTGGAGCAGAGCAGTCTAGCTAAGAGGGGCTTGGCCCCAGGGCTGAGTCTCCCTGGGGCTGCCTCACTGTCTTGCTGTTTTCATACCTTATTGCATCACAATTGATCTGTTTTGCATTGAATAAATTTTCCTTCTTCACCACACACTAAAATAGGGATTTCTGTTAGTGCTGAATTGGCACCAACAACCACTGGTTGACAGTGCCCTCAGTATCTACTCCTTGCTTACCAGAGTTTTCCTGCTTGATGTATCCCAACCACTCCAGCCTTTTCCCCTCTCCATGGCCAGCTTTATTTCTGACCTGATTCAATTCCACATCTTTCCTTGCTCACCTGAGAATGGACAGCTTCAAACAACCAGCTGTTTCACCTCTTCATAGCTTCTTCCAGGATGTGAAGTGTGGGGGTTTGAGAGCAAATCTATAATTTATCTCCAACATACTCATCTTCTCCACTCCAAAGCTGTCAGATACCTAGGGAATCAGTTTTACAACCATTCCATTTCTCTCCCAGCATATTGATAAAGTTTTGGACTCTCCATCCTTGTGAGTGAAGTACCTAAGAATATTCTCCTAAGGGCCAGAACAACTATCTTTTTCTCTAAGCTGCAGAGAACAGACACCCTTTCTACATCTGAGGCCAAAAGATATACAGACAGTAATTTTTTTAATGCAGAATACTACACTGGTTTGTATCCTTTTTTAAACATAATACCTAAACATTTCCCTAAGATGGACTCATTTCCTGTAGTGAACAGACTAGCTTCTTCAGTACAGACGTCTTTCTCCTTTCTGAGGAGATGAAAGACCTACCAGCCAGAGGCACAAATTGCCCCACCCTCCACCACAGTGGAGGTGTCACTTCCCTTCAGAGGCAAAACAGCTCAGGGGCATTCCCCTGCAATTACCTGGCTGGTGGAGTCTCCTGCAAGTGATATCTTCCTCCCCAATCAGAGCTTGGAAGGTCTGCCAGCCATAAACCATTCCATTGTCATAATCATCTTACAGATTGGTGGTGTAGCCTGATCTTCACTTACTTAGTTGCTTGATATTAGCCATTTATCATCCCAGTTGTAACTATACCCTCCTTGCCCCAACACACAGCATCCTTGCTAAGTAGACCACATCCTTGGGAACTTCACTGACCAACACTCCACACAGTTTGTGGTTCCTTTTTTTCTGGTCTTTTTACATTTTGTGCAAGTACTCAGTTCCTGAGAGAATCACTTAATTTCCTGGATATCTTCCTAAATTGCTACACAAAATCCTGTGTCTTCACAAACTTTTTATCAAATTCAAGTTGCTTCCCTGGGAGATCTCTCTTTCTCCTAGTGAATGGTTTGACAACCAAGTGATACCACACAGAGAAAAATCTAATGAACCCCCATGAAATTCAGTACACTATAAATAGTTAAGAGATTCTGAAGTGACACTGCCTAAATTCTGTTTTGCCATTTCTTAAAGAACTTTACCATTTACTGTTGCTAATTTAGTAAAATTACTTAACTTTTCTGTTTCTCTCATAAGACAACAAGTTAATACATAAGTTGAGGCTTCCGGTCAAGATGGCAACGTAGGCAGACATGGCTCATCTCTTCTCACAATCACATCAAAATTACAACCAAAATGTAGAACAAGCATCACTCAGGAATGTCAGGAGTTGAGTTGAATGGAAGTCTGACAACTACAGAATTGAAGAAACCACGTCCATTCAGACTGGTAGGAGGGGTGTGAACATGGCACGGTCTGCTCCCACACCCACATGGATAAAAATCTGGGAGGGATATCTCAGAAGTGAGGAGTCCCAGACCCACACCAGGCCCCCTAGCCCAGGATTCCAGTGCCAGAAAGGTAAGTCCCCACAACTTCTGGCTGCAAAAGGCAGCAGGGATTGAGTAGGTGGAGGAGGCTGCTGGAATCCTAAGCAGTTCCTCTTGGGGAATCCACACATGGACTCACCTGCCAAGACTGGCTCCCTCTGCGCTCCATTGCCAGGGTGGCATCTTGAAGCACACCAGTGGTATACGGGGAGAGACAGAAGTGTCTGGCATAGGGGCAAGCAGAGGCCATGTCCCTTTGCAGAGCCTTTCCTCTACAGAGTTGGCAGGCTGGTGCCATATCTAAGATACCATCAATCTGGCTAACACTGTGTGACCCACCTTAGAGATCCACAGAGGCTCTACCCCACCCAACTTACAGGCCCACCCAAGCTACTTTTCCATAAGAATGTCTGGTATCAGCTCCTAAATTCTATCAAACAAGCAACAGCTGGCTTCAGTGGGCCCTAGAAGCAGCCAGATTAGAGTCACAGCTTGGCTAGACCTGGGAATCTCTAAGTCTAGCGCAAGTAGCAGCCATCTCAGATGGCATTACAGCTCAGGTGGGGTGCTGTTGGCAAAACACAGGTAGGGGCTGATCTTGGCCTGCACCATCCCGGAAACCCCAGGGCCAATGCACCTAGTGGACAGCTACAAACCATTTTGGAGAACCACCAACCTGACCCTGCACAGCTGATTCTCCACAGAGGGAGGAGGTTAGTGGTCAGTGGTCACAGACAGTCCTTGCAGCTGACTGGCCTGGGTAAATCTCTCCCATTGATCTGCCAATAGCAACCAAGGCTGTTGGCAAGGTGTACTCAGCCCACATGGAGGGCACACCTTAAGTACCCAGCTTGGGTGATAGGGGAAGCTGTGCCACTGGACCCTGTAGGACACCCACTACCTTAGGCCACACTATCAAGACATGGAGTCAAAGCAGCTCTACCTAATACATAGAAATAAACACAGAGAGGTGGCCAAAACAAGAAGACAACGACACATGGACCAAATGAAGGAACAGATAAAAACTCCAGAAAAAGAGCTAAATGAAATGGAGATAAGCAATCTCTCAGATACAGAGTTCAAAACACTGTTTATAAAGATACTCAAGGAAATTAATGAGGACCTCAACAGCATAAAAAAAAAAACCCAGTCAGAAACAAAGGATTCACTAATTGAAATAAAGAACAATTTACAGGGAAACAACAGTAGAATTGATGAAGCCAAGAATCAGATCAGTGATTTGCAACATAAGAAAGCAAAAAACAACCATGCAGAACAAGAAGAAAAAATAATTTAAAAAATGAGGGTAGTATAAACAGCCTCTGGAAGAAACTTAAGAGGTCCAACATTTGGCTCATAGGGGTGCCAGAAGGAGAAGAGAAAGAGCAAGAAATTGGAACTGTATCTGAAAAAATAGCAAAAGAAAACTTCCCTAATTTGGGGAAGGAAATAGACATGCAAGTCCAGGAAGCACAGAGTCCCAATTATCATGGATGCAAAGAGGCCCACTCCAAGATACATCATTATTAAAAGGCCAAAGATTAAAGAGAAAAAGAGACTCTTAAAAGCAAGAGTAAAAAAGTTAGTTACTGGAAGGTTGCTAGATGGGAGGAGGGAGGAGGAGAAAGGGTGAAGAGGTGAAGGGTTTAAGAAGTACAAATAGGTAGTAAGAGAATAGACATGGAAATATAAAGTACAGTATAGGAAATGGAGTAGCCAAAGAACTTATACACATTGACCCATGGACATGGACAATGGTGTGGGAATTGTCTGAGGGAGGAGGGGGCATTGGGTGGAGGAGGGCAAAGGGGGAAAAATCGGGACAACTGTAATAGCATAATCAATAAAATATAATTAAAAATAAATAAATAAAAAGTAAATTATGGAAACCTTAGTAATGTAGTTGATAAGGTAGACCTGATTGATATATCAAATTGTATGTCCTAAATACATGAACACTCACAAAAACGATTAAGTCATAAAGAAAAACCTCAGCAACACCCAAACAGTAAAGAGTAAAGATAGCATTCTTTGATTACAATGCAGTATAACAGAAATTAGTAAAATTAGGGGGACAAAATTCTTTCTATGTGCAAAATTTAAAACTATTTTAAACAAAGTTTAGAAAAGGGGAAAACCATTAAATGAAATTGTAGACAACAAAAACACAGTATATAAAAACTCATGAAGTCTCCTGTGGCTCAGCTTCCTTATTTCTCAGCTCCCACTCTCCTCTATCACAATGCAAGAAGAAATTGCTGAGCTCATCATTGACAATGGCTTTGGCATGTGTAAAGCTGGCTTTGCTGGAAATGATCACCCCCAAGCTGTGTTCCCTTCCATTGTTGGGTTGCCCAAGGTGTCATGGTGGGCTGGGATGGGTGCAAAAATTCCAGAGCAAGTGTGGCATCCTGACCCTGAAGTACCTCAGCATGGCATAGTCATCAACTAGAGTGACCTTGGGAAGATCTGGCACCACACCTTCTATAACGAGCTACATGTGGCCCCTCCCTGAGGAGCACCTGGTGCTGCTGACTGAGGCTCCTCAATGCCAACAGAGACAATATGAACTCAGATTCTGTTTGAAAACCTCAACACCTGGGCCATGTGTGTGGCAATCTGGGCCTTGCTATATCTTTCTGCCTCTGGCTGCATCACTGGCTTTATAATGGAGCCTAGGGATGGAGTCATTCGCATGGCACCATCTATGAGGTCTATCCTTCTTTACAACATCCTGCATCCAGACCTGGTTGCCCAGGACCTGATGGACTACCTTGTGAAGAGCCTCACAGAGCATGCCTACAGCTTCATCACCATAGCCAAATGAAAAATCATGCATGACACAAGAAGCTCTGCGATGTTGCCTTGGACTTGGAGCAGGAGAAGGCACCACCAAGTCCTCCTCCTTGAGAGTGACCAGTTGCTCAACTGTCAGGTGATCACCATCGTGGTGTTCACAGCACTCATTCAGCCTCCCTTCCTGGGTATGGAGTCCTGTGACATACACAAGACCATCTTTAACTCCATCATGAAGTGTGATATTGACATCTGGAAGGACTTGCACACAAACACAGTGCTGTCTGATGGGACCAACATGTACTCTGGCATGTTTGACAGCATGCAGGAAATCACGGCCCTGACCTTCAGCACAATGAAGGTCAAGATCATCATTCCTCCTAAATGCAAGTACTCAGTGTGAATTGGGTGCTTCATCCTGGCTTGTTGTCCATCTTCCAGTAGATGTGGGTCAGCAAGCAGGAATATGACAAGCTGGGCCCCTCCATTATCCATTGCAAATGCTTCTTTTTTAAAAAGATTTTATTTATTTATTTTCAGAGAGAGGAGAAGGGAGGGAGAAAGGGAAGGAAAGACACATTCATGTTTGAGAAAACATCAGAAATATCAATCAGTTGCCTCTTGCATGCCCCCAGTGTGGACCTGGGCTGCAATCCAGGCATGTTCCCTGACAGGGGGTCAAACCAGCGACCTTTTGATTCACAGGCCAGTGCTCAATCCACTGAGCCACACCAGCCAGGGGTACAAATGCTTCTAAATGGACTGTGAACAGATGCATACCATTTGCTGCATGAGTTAAATCAGAAGTGTACTATTGTCCTACTTCATGCTAGTCTCATGAAACTAGAATAAACATTTTAAAAGAAATTTGTCTTTGAAGTTTTTATCTGATACAAGTTGGATTCTAGAATTTGTTGCTAATTTTGATGTTGTATTCAAGTTAAATGTTACCTTTGCATACATTTTTTCTCATTTTATTTATGTATTTGTTTTTCATTGTTGTTCAAGTACAGTTGTCTCCATTTTTCCCCCACCACTTCCCTCCACTCCAGCCATCCCCACCTCCCACCCCTGATTCTACCCTCTTGGTTTTGTCCATGTGTCCTTTATAGATGTTCCTGAAAACCCTCCCCCCCCATTATCCCCTCCTATATCCT